AAATATATAAGATCGCCCGCACTAGCAAAAGTGTATTTTTTTTTTTGGTTTTTCGAAAAAATATTCTCCTGGCGCTCGACACGTTCGAGATCTTCACGCTTGATTCGCGAGAGAAGAAAATCGAAATCCGCGCTTCATCGTCGATCACTGGAAACATTCGCAGCTTCTACATCGACCGGCGTAAAAAAAGTCCCATATAATTTATCTCTTAACCTACAAACTTGGCGCTGAACCGTTCTTTCTCTTTCCTCTCTTCTTCATTTTTTCTTTCTCTTCGTATGCACAAGTATCACAATCGCTCACGTTTCACGCTTGTCGTCTACGAATGTGTCATGTGTACGCGTGTGCCTTTCTCGCTTTACATTTTGTTATTCTTGTCGTCGTTATCTTCGCCGTTCGAGAACGGCGATCAACGAAACGCTGTGTCTCGCTTCGTTCGCCTCGCGTCTCAAAGTTCCGCTCTAGAGCGCGATTCGGCAGCTCTATCGATTCGAGAGATCCAAAGTCCTCACTCTGGAATTTCGTCCTCACCGAGAGTTGCAACGCGCTTTGCAGAATCTTTAGTTTTTTTTCCTTTTACTTTTTTTTCCGCGCAACATTCCTCGACGCTAAAAGCTCGGACGTGAGAAACTGAGAATTAATCAATCGCGTAAACGTCAATCTAATCGGAGCTCTATTTAATAAATTCCATTATAAAACATTAAATAAATGTACATATTTCTATTAAATGTATATAGTACTTATATGAGAAAATTCATATAAATATTATACAAATCCCGATATAAAAATATTCAATACAGATTTGATATTTGTATATATATGTATATAAATTTCGATATACAGCATATCATACGCAACATATTTCATATTGCGTACAATATATACATAAATGATATAAATCTTCAAAATTCAACTGTGTATACTTGTACAGCACAGATAATTCCAGCAACATTGCAACATTCTTATAACATTACAGCAATGTTGCAACATTTCAGAAATAATGTAATGGCGTTGCAA